AACCTAAATGCATATTGTACTTTGAGATATTAGCTAATAATGGTATATGAAATGAAGTCATCATAATTGATAAGACATTTGAAAGTAAACATTCAGAGCATTATTAGTAATACATGAGAGAAGTATTTTATAGAATACATAAAATTATTTTAAAAATTTAAAAATGTATTATTTATAAAATACAAAATTTTAAAATTATTTTAAAAGCTTGTACACTTCATTTTAATCTCATTCTTTTAAATATTTCTATTTCTTATTAAGGTTATGTATTTATTAGTACAGTAATACATTTGTATGGCATGTTTATATGTGTATACTCAAAATTTTTACTAATAGTGGTAGATGTTCTATAACCAACTACTCATATATAGTTAAATGCATACATTGTAAGTCTACATATAAAACTATAGCTGTAGGGGCGCCTGGGTGGCTCAGTTGGTTAAGCGTCTGCCTTCGGCTCAGGTCATGATCCCAGGGTCCTGGGATCGAGTCCCGCATCTGGCTCCCTGCTCCGCGGGGAGTCTGCTTCTCCCTCTGACCCTCCCCCCTTTCATGCTCTCTCTCTCTCTCTCTCTCAAATAAATAAATAAAATCTTAAAAAAAATCCTTAAATGTTTATAACTAAAAAAAAAAACAAAAAACCGTAGCTGTATATAAAACTATCCATCTATATCTAAATAACAACAGAGACCCCAAAGCTTTCAACCTTCAGGAAAGCTGGCCAGTAACTGAACACCTGAGCTTTGAGAGTAAGAAATGATACTGTAATTCTAGCTGATAGTAGTTCACCATTTATAAGTGCCCAGACATTGTTCTAAGGGCTGTGGGCACTGTTACCATCACTATTTCTACAGATAAAGAAATGAGGCACAGGAAAGGAGAAGTAACTTGCCTAAGGTCACAGAGTCAGTAAAGGGCAAAGCTGGAATTTGCCTCCAAGCAGTTAATCTCTAAAATCTGAAATTCTAGCTCCTACCCTCTATGCTAGTAACTTTCACTCTGATTTGACCGTCTCACAGAAAGAAATATATTTTGCACTGTGATCCAGGATGCATATACAGTTCTGGGAAACACATTTACCTTTACAATATATGATGCCCTCTGGTAGTTTCTGTCTTAGAACATTCTGATTCTAAAATTATATTTTCTTTAAAAAATCCTGATCACCACTCATGAAGTCAATTTCATAATCCACTAATGAGACACAATCTATAGTTTAAAAAGCTCTGTATTATTTTTATTCCCACCCATATGGGTAAGCTAAATGCTAAATATGCTAGGCTATATATGCTAAATGTTATAGTTTCTAGTGAGATCATCTGGGCATCAAAAGAGTTTCTATACTGTTTTCTATGCTTAGAAGATCTTGGGAAGTCCCTATCTTTCCATTTTGAAGAGCTTTAAAATACCTTAAGTGAAAATTTTCTGGCCACATGACTGCTGTGTCAAGAATTTTTCCCTTCCTTTGGCCTGTTTGTAAATCTTTTGCAGTCAAGATCTGCCAACACTTTTGTACTTTCTTGATTTATAGCATAATTATTTTTGAGCTTTATTGTTTTTTGTGTAGATGTTCAGTCTTGTGGACTGTAAATTACGGATCCCAGGAACAGATATAGTATATGCTTAAAACTGTGTGTTGTTCCATTCACATACATACAGTTAAATACTATCTAATAATTAATATAATAGCTCAGAACCTTGGTATATTTGCTATATATATAT